GCGGAATAGGGTTCTATTCTGTGACCCAGACCTCCAACCTCGGGCCTTGGTTTCCTCACATGTAGAGTGGGGTGATGAGGTGCCCCCCGCAGAGGGCACCTGATGGCCCCTCCAGGTTCAGAGCTGCACTCAAGCTCCTTGATTATCTATCTGGGAGTGTGTGTGTGTGTTTCCCAGCATGTCTCCTTATTGCCCTTTATACATTCCTTTACTTTTCTATCTATTTGTATCCTTGACTCTGAAGTGAGTCTCCTGTATGTCTGTTCTTTGGTTTTTTTAAATTCAGTCTATATCTGCATTTTGACATGATCGTTTAATCCATGTCCATTTAATGTTACTATTTAAACAATTGGGTGTATGTCTGCACTGGAGGCACTCAGTCATCTATGCCAAGAAACTTGAAAGACAATTAACCTCTCCAACTGACTGGAAGAGACCCACATTTATACCAGTTACAAAGAGAGACTGGATGGAATTTGGAAATCGTAGGACAATATCATTAAGATCCCATCAAAGCAAAATTTTGCTAAACATAGTAACAGTTGCAACCATACATTGACAGAGAACTTTCAGAAGATCAAGCCAGATTCAGAAGATGATGTGGAACGGGGGATATCATTGCTCAACTCGGGTGGATTTTGGCTGAAAGCAGAGAATACCAGAAAGATGTTTATCTGTGCTTTATTGACTACACAAAGGCTTTCGATTGTGTGGATCTTAACAAGCTATGGACAATATTGCAGAGAATGAGTATTCTGCAACACTTAATTGTGCTCATGAGGAACCTATATATAGACCAAGAGGTTTGAACAGAACAAGGAAACACTAAATGGTTTTAAATTAGCAAAGGTGTGCACCAGCATTGTATTTTTTCACCATACATGTTCAATCTGTATGCTGAGCGAATAGTACAAGAAACTGGATTATATAAAGAAAAACATGTCGTCAAGATTGGAAGAAGACTCGTTAACAACCTGCAATATGCAGATGATACAACCTTGCTTGCTGAAAGCAAAGAGGACTTAAAATACTTACTAATGAAGATCAAAGACCACAGTCTCTGGTACGGATTGCACCTCAATGTAAAGATAACAAAAATCCTCACAACTGAACTAGTAAATAGCATCATGATAAATGGAGAAAACATTGAAGTTTTCAAAGAGTACAGTTTGCTCATATCAGCCATCTATACTCATGGAAGTAGCAGTCAAGAAATCAAACGACACATTGCATTAGGCAAATTTGCTGCATTAGACCTCTTTTAAAGTGTTGAAGAGCAAAGCTGTCAGTTTGAAGACTAAGGTACACCTGACCCAATTCATGGTATTTTCAATGTTGAATGCATGTGAAAGTTGGACAGTGAATTAAGAAGACCGTAGAAGAATTACATTTGAGCTGTGGTGTTGAGAATATTTAAAGTACCATGGACTGCTAGAAGAACAGTCTGCTGAAAGAAGTACAGCCAGAATGCCCCATAGAAGCCAGGATGACCAGACTTTGTCTCTCATACTTCAGACATATTGTTAGGAGGGACTGGACCCTGGAGAAAGATATCATGTTTGGTAAAATGGAGGGTCAGAGAAAAAGAGGAAGACACCCCTCCCCCCAACTAGATGGATTGGCACAATGGCAGCAGCGATGGGCTCAAATGTAACAAGAAATGTGAGGCTGGCCCAGGACCGGGCAGTGTTTTGTTTTGTTGTGCATAGGGTACCAACTTGGTACCAACTCAGTAGTACCTACCAACAACTTTTTTATGTGTCACGTCTTTGTTTTCTATTCCTCATTCACAGCTTGCTTTTATATTCAGTTACATTTGGTGTCATGTTTTGATTTCTTTCATGTTTTTTCACCATATATTTTTTATTGCTTTTATGGTAGTTGTGTTTAACATGTCAACATATTAGACTCAGCTTCAGATGGATGCCAACCTAATAACAATGAGATAGAGAAATGTGTCTCTGCTATGTTGTTGTTAAGTGCTATTGAATCGATTCTGACCCATAGTGACCCTGCATAGGGTTTCCGAGGAGCAGCTGGTGAGCTTGAACCACCAACCTTGCAGTTCACACGGCTTTGCAGTCTGGAGCATTAACTCATAGTGCCACCTCGCAATCGACTTCTGAAAAATCACCCATCAAAGACCTTCCTTGTGGAGCACAATTCTACTCTGACATACATGGGGAACAGCAAGTTGCTGTTCTGCCTATGAGGGGGCTTAAAAACGTTCATGGAGATGGAATTAAAAGATGGCATTTTCCCACAAACTTTTGGAAGCCCCCTCATGTTAGCCAATAATACATTCTTATAAATACTACTTTACATTTTGTTGTCATTTCCTTACACCAGTACAACTTTGTTTCCACCCACCTCCACAAATATATGTGGTGAGTCAAAAATTCTCCAACTGTAGAATTTATTTTAATCAACTTTTCAGAAAAGACAGATTTATCATTTATCAACATAATCACCTTGCTTTTCAATACAAGTTTTCATATTCCCTTATTTAAAAAATGTTTTAGGCTGAGCTGCGAGCCACGAATGCACTGCTGTCATCACTTCACATTGTCCTCGAAGGGGACCAACCAGGTGAAAGTCGAATGAAGCAAGATCAGGACTATAGGGAGGATGCTTTAACAACCCAAAATGAAATTTTTGCAGAGTGTCAACAGTGTGGGCAGAGGTGTGCAGATGTGCATTGTCAATGCAAGATCACACCGTCCTTGGATAGCAGTCCTCTGCATTCAATCCAAAGCTTAGGCTTCAGCTCTTCAGTAAGCCTCTCACTGTAAGTTGAAACGTTTTCCTGATACCATCACATTACAGGCTCTTGAGAATCCCAGAAAACTAAGCATCAATTTTCCAGCTGATGGTTGACTTTGGAATTTTTCTTGGTCAGTGACTAAGGGTATTTCCATTCAATACTCAGAGGTTTACTCTCAGGTTCAGAGTAATGAATCCATGTTTCATCACCAGTGACGATTTTTAGTTTAAGAAAATTTTACCTTCCTTATCAGTCCAAATTTTATTTGTATCTATCCAAACACTTGTGTTTATGCTCTTCCATGAGTTGTTTTGGTACTCGTCTCACACAAACTTTTGATACTCATGTCTGTTGTGGATTATTTCATAGGCAGAGCTATGGATGATTTGTATATTATTTGCCACATAACCCACTCTCTCTGGTCTATTCAACAGAATCATTTCACATGCACGCTCAATGTTGTCATCAGCCATGGATGTGGACGAGTGTTTTAATATAACTGGGGTGCAGATCATTTTTGACTCAATCGGGCTGCGAACCCCAACGTCAGCAGTTCGAAACTACCAGCCGCTCCACAGGAGAAAGATGAGGCTTTCTGCTCCCGTAAAGATTTACAGCCTCGGAAACCCTGTACAGGTTCACTATGGGTCGGAACCAACTCAACAGAACACAACAACAACAACATAGTTTTCTATGTGTTTCTATATATAGTATACAATTGCTTTTATAAATGACCTAAGAAGAAAGAAGAGAAATAAAGCACTTAAGCTCTTTTATAATGACAGTAGGACTTCAAGATTGTAGGAACACTCATTAGCAACTTGCAATATGCAAATGACACAACCTTACTTGCTGAAGGCAAAGACTTAAAAAACGTTGATTTATTGAGGAAGATCAAGGACTACAGGCTTCTGCGTGGATTAAACTTCAACATAAAATAAAAATCCTCACAACTGGACCACTAAGCAGCAGCATGATAAATGGAGAAAATATTTTATTTGGATCAACAACGTTCATGGAAACAGCAGTCAAGAAATCAAAGGACATATTGCCCTGGGAAAATCTGCAAACTACCTCTTTAAAGTATTTAAAAAGCAAAAATGTCACTTTGAAGACTTAAGTACACCTGACCCAAGCCAGGGTGTTTTCAGTTGCTTCATATGCATGTTTAAGTTAGACAGTGAGGAAGACAGAAGATGAATTGAAGTCTTTGAATTATGGTGCTGCCAAAGCATATGGAATACATCATGAATGACCAGAAGACTGCACAAAGCATAGCCAGAGTACTCCTTAGAAGCGAGGATAGCAAGACTTTTATCTCATGTACTTTGGACATGTTATCAGAGAGAAAGGTGATCGCCAGAGAAGGACATCCTGCTTTCAGGGTCCAGGAAAAAAGGGTCCAGGAAGCACCTCAAAGAGATGGATTGACACAGAAGCATCAACAATAGGTTCAAACAAGTAATGAGGGTAAAGATGTCTCCGAATCGGGCACTGTTTTCCTTTGTTGTTCATAGAGTCTCTTAAGTATAAGGGCTGACTGGACAACCTAACAGCAGTTACCAACTGATTGCTCATCTGTTTTCAGGGATGCCCTGGGGTATAAATCGATGTCCTGGGGCATAAATCGCTCTACAGACTAATTCTATAAATCCTAGTTCATTTGTAGGACTAGTTTTTGAGGTCAGTGTTTGCTATTTGTTCTGATCCCAGGGGAGTTCCTCCCCAGTAGTTGTCCTGCAGTTTAGCCTGTATCCTGAATCTCCTCCCAGTTGCCTTTATCAGTCCTTACTGTTCTTGAGAGCACCCTTAGGTATAGAATTCATACTCTGTTGCAACTGAAACCAATCCTTTGGGAAGAAATTAGGAGCTACTTTGTGACCTGCTTCTTGCTACCCAGACAACATTATCTCTGAATCAGGTTCTGGAGCTGGGGACCCTGGCACGCTTCTGTGCCTAGAGTGGGAGTCACACTCACCTCCCCATTCTAGGCACAAGTTGGGGGGAACAGCCTAAGGTCCTCTCAGTTTGCTTCTGGTGTGAAACCCCCCTCCACATGAGCAAGGGTGGGCTTATGGGGCCCCAGTCTTCTCAGAGTAGAGTCATCATGCTCCCTTACATGAGGACGGAGTTGGGTATCAGAAAGAGCCCCTGTCTACGCTGCACTTGCCCAGGACTGAGCCTCAGGTAACTGGGAGCAAGCTGAGAAACATCAAGGCCCTGCTCCTCCCAGGAAAATCCTTCTGGCTGGGAGCTGGATGAAGGAGGAACCCTTCCTGTGTGACTGTTGCCTTCTTGTGGAGTCTCGGCCACCTACCGTCTTTAAGTGTGTGTGTAGGAAGGTGGAGGTACAGCCTTGGTTCAAATACCAGAAGCTAACCTTTCTCTCATAGGTTTTCTTAAACAAGCTGTTGCCCTTAGGACAGTTTCCACCAGCTTTAGCGTTTCTTTTCTGTTTTGATAGTTTTCTCCCATTTCATCAAGGAGCGCCTCATGCCAGAAGTCCATCGCTTACAGCTCTCTGAGAAACCACATTTTTACTCTGGTTTCCCCGTTTTTAACCAGTCTACTTGAAAGAGGGAAATCCTCCTAAATAAATTTAGTGTTTTTATTCTTCACCCCCCCACACACACACCAAGTTTTAAGTTAAACTTTTAAATGTATTGTTTTCTAAATGCAATATGGTATCTTGTCCTGTATTCTAGAACCGAAAAGGACGTTAACAGAAACACTGGTAAAATGTAAAGACTGTACTTTAGTTAATAGTGTTGTTAAGCCCCCTCGAGTCGGTTCTGACTCAGAGCACCCTGTATTGGGTTTCCAAGGAGCAGCTGGTGGGTTTGAACTGCTAACCATGGAGTCAGAAACGGACTCAGTGTTCTCTAACAACTCACAAATGGTGGTGAGGGGGGAATTGCCCCATGCTTCCAACTCATGGAAAGAGCAGATCATCCTGAGTCTTAGACCAAAGAGAGCCTTGTTTCAATTTGCATTTTTAAGACACAGGAGTCTTTCCGTAAAGAGAATGAAGACTGAAGACGTCAGGGGAGTGAGTTGTCTGTGAAAGGCGGGAGTCATCCTGAATCGCTCAGGTTCTTCCTTAGTGAGGACATGTTCATCCTCCAAGCATGGGAGCCCTTCTCTTGTCTTTCATTCACAAGAGGCTTTTCTGAGGAAGTCTCTGATCTGCTCTAGCTCACAGATGGAGTACGGTCTTCAGCCCGCCTGAGGAGCCGAGGGTGCCCAGCGACCAGGTTGGCCTCTGCACAGGAAGTGGATGTCCCTAAGTCGACCAAAGCTGTGCATCTGGTGAGGAGTCGTCACTGCCGGGAATATCTAGATCTTCATTTCGTTTTCATTTTTTATAAAAGGTGTCACTTAGGATGTGTCATATCAGAAAAAAATACTGCATGTTTCTTTTAGACCACGAGATGGGGTTGTTGTTGTTGTTGTTCAGTACAGTCGAATCGGTTCAGACTTGGTTTTCAAGGAGCGGCTGGTAAGCTTAAACCGCCAACCTTGCGAATCAAATCAACCTTGCAGTCCAGTGCATTAACCCACAGCAGGACTCCATGGGGCGGCAGGCGGGATGTATTTTAGAGGAAATGGTAACAGTACTGTAATTAGCTGTGGTCCAGGGGTTTGCCAGCCACTGGTACATGTGTGCGCGCGCACATGTCACAGACCCAATCTCTGGCCTGTACCTTTGTTTATTAACAATCTACTTAGGATGTGTTCCCCTAAGTGATGCTAGTAAGTACTACTCCACTCCTTCACCCCTAAGTACTTAAGAGAAAGAAAGTGAGCCAAGGAAAACCCACTGTAGTCTGCAGTGGTCGTCTGCAGCCATCCTTTCCAATGAGTTTTAGCTCTGGTGTAATGTGGTTTGCCCTTAGGTAGGTCTGCTTAGATGAGCCCAGGGCCCCGGGTCTGAATGAGACATGGCTGAGTACCAGCCAGCATAGCACCAACTCAGTACGGTGCTCAGTAAGGTTTTGTTACATTTGATTTAACAAATGCTTGCTTAGCACCCACTACATGCCTGGCGCTATCTGCTGAAAGAAACCAAGATCTCTGCCTCCATGAAGCTTATGATCTGGTGAGAATGAATGAAAACTGGATTCTATAAGCCATGCTTGTGGGTTTACCTCACCCCTAGGAAAAATGGGGGGGCGGGGGTGGGGAGGTGGTGTCTCTGTGTTCCCACCTTGCTGTCCCACTGAAGGAGGTGGCCAAGCCCTGATACATCCCTGACTGAATGGCTTCAGCGGCAGCAGCCTTTACACCATTGGTGCTGAGGGGAAATATTCCCCTCTGGAATGGAAGTGATTATTTGTTTCCCCTTAACACCTTTTTTTCTTGACAGACTTCCTCATCACACAAAGCCATTGACAAGCGCACTTCCAAGAGATTCAAGCATGACAAAGACAACCTCATGAGATCTGAGTTACAGAAACTCGTCACTAGACGTGCTGGTGGGCCCTTGCCCAAAGCAGCACCTGAGACCCCTTGTGCAGATGAACCTCTGGAGGTGGGCGGACAGCACGTGGTGGCCTCGGACAGCGAGGCCAGTGCTTCTGCCAAGCAGGAGGGAGGCGGGCCCCCCCTCGGCCACGGTGACATCCTGAAGGACGGGTGCCCCGCACAGACTGATGATGACCTGTCCCCGCCAAAGCACAGCACTGCTTCTGAAGCAGAAGGCTCCAACAGCAGCTCCACAGCGTGGGATGAGTCGGCGCCAGAGGCCCAGGAGGCCCAGAAGCCAGCACTTCAGATGGACAACAGCGTCTTCCTGGACGATGACAGCAACCAGCCCATGCCAGTGAGTCGCTTCTTCGGGAACGTTGAGCTAATGCAGGTAAGGTGTGCGCCGGCCTGCCTCCATCCACAAACCGCAGGCTCCATTTACGTTCCACAGAACGACCATGTGTGACTTAATGCCTCAAGAAAAGAGAAACACCATCATAATTTCAGCCAGTGGGGGGAGTGAAGCATTGCTAGCCGGGGCACCCCTATTCTCCTCAGAATCGTTGAAACCTTGAGACTGATGCTGGTGGGTGGAGTCCCGTCCCCAACCCTCGAGTGTGTCACACTGCAGCGTTAGGAAGACTCTACCCCAGGCTTACCCTGGGTGTTCCCTTCTATTTCTCCCTTGGTCAACCTAACGGGGAATCGGCCCTAATCCAGAGAACTGGTACCACAACTCAGTCGTTTCTGGGACCAAACAAAACCCTGGGGTCGGCAGCTGGCAGCAAAGGGGAGGGCCCGTGAGTAGGCCCCACTGGTCTTGGTGAATTGCAGTCACGCATGTGGATGTCATGGTGTGTTCCATCACTGAAGTCATCATTTTTCTCCCACAAGGACCTTCCACCGGCGTCTTCTGCTTATCCTTCCATGAGTAGACGAGAATTCAGAAAAATGCATTTCAGAGCCAAAGACGACGATGACGATGAAGACGATGATGCAGAAATGTAGTTAATAAAATGCACAGAATAATTTTTTCATATTCATTATATTTAGCAATGTGGCAATTTTGCAAAATTACAGGATTCATAAACAATTTAACTCCAAGGGAACTTAGATTCTGAGTCAGACTTCCAAACTGAACCATTGAAGGCAACAAATGGCGCAGGTTCCCACTAGTTGCCGAGGGCTCACTGAGAGGAACTGTCACTATCTTGGCGATGTAAAGCTGGTCTTTCTTTGTTGGTGTGTTTTTCTATATGAATATGCTTCGAGTCAGCCGAGGGGACTAAGGGTTAGACAGTGGAGACCTTTGTAAAGAGAAATCTTCATGTAGCTCTTTAGTTTTGATAATATGCAAGTTTATTTTCCATTATCAGAATGTAAGAATTCTTGTGATTGATCAATGCCAGTTCTTAAAGAACTCTATTTCACAGCATATAAAACTAAAGTTTACCTTGGAAATTTTGCAAAATGTGTATAGGAAATAAAATATATTTTGAGCATATTTTAAATGTCTTTCATTATGTCCTGAAAGCTGTATTCCTTGCCCAGATGTTTGGGAGTCAGGTAGAGAGAGGATTCTGCCCATGCTGTCATACCTGTAAGCCTGTGCCAGCCTTGGGGAGGATAGCTCTGGGCAGGGGGTCACAGAGACCGCTCTGGAGTAGGGTGTGGGGTTGCAGCACCTAACTTCTGCATCTCCCTTGACTTGTAGAAGATGAGAAACAGAACTGTTCAGCACATCAGGTGCCCTATTGGAGATGCTGTGCTCTGCTCCTTGGATTGACATTGAAGAGGGCCTTGAGACATTCTCACCTCCTCTGAGGTGACATCAGGAGGCCTTTGTGACCTTGTCGCCAGTGGACTGTGAAGAGATGCAAGGGGAGAGCCTCATGGCTGTCTTCCTTCAGCATACTGAAGACTGCGGGAGCTGCAGGCAGGAAGCCTGGATCCCCGTGACCACCCACCAGCAGGAAAGGCACTTATGTAGGAAGACCTGGGTCCGTATCCTCTACCAGGGAGTCGGATTGCTTTCATGTTCTATTCCAAGTATCCTCTGAAGCCCAGGAAATATTCTACATTAGGGCCAAGTGGGGAACAAAATGTAGTTGAAGGGTCCTGTAAGAAATCCTTCACCTCTTTTCCCATTCAAACCCCGCTCTCATGGAAGTCATTCGGTCAGCAGTCCTGTGCTTCCCCAGTGAGTACTTCCCCATTCACAGGTGTGGCCTGAATCTCCTCCACCGCATCCTTCTGTGATATATTGATTGATGGGCTACTGTGTGTTTAGTCATTTGAAAATGTTGCTTATAAAGTCATTTCGTGGTGACCAGGGAAACTGCTTTACAACTTGAGATCCCTGCAGGAGTGTGAATATTAATCACAGCACCTCGGATGACTGTCAGAGGAGCCACCTCAGATTGGAGAATCCTGACTTTCCACAAAGCTAAGTGGAGGGAGCAACACTGTCCTGGGTCTTGCCACACCTGCAGAAGAAGCGCAGTGTTTCATTCCCACCCAGATGTGGAGCAAAAAGCCCTGTTTCCCACCAAGGTTTCGCCTGAACTGACGAGAGCGTAACCAGCAGAAAGGCTTTCGGTTAGGGATTGAATTTTGTAAATCTTAAACCCTATACCCATGGTGATCCCCAAAACATTTGTGAATGGGTTTTTTGTTGGTTTTTTTGAGTAAGGGACCATATCCGAGTAGGGTGCATTTTAAGCCAATCACCTTTGAGATACAGAGGGCCAGTTGGGACTGAGAAGGAAACAGCAACAAAAGCCAAGCTGGGGGAAGACAGATGCCATGCTACACGAACATCACCAAGTAGCAAATGGGTAGACGCTCAAGAGACACCTTCAGCTAGAGCCAGCACCCCATACTTGGATTTCTGGCCTCCTAAACTGTCAAAATAGGAGCTCTGGCAGCGTAGTGGTTCCCAGTCGGGCTGCTAACCTCAAGGTCAGCAGTTCAAAACTACCAGCTGTTACACAGGAGAAAGATGAGGCTTTCTGCTCCCGTAAAGATTGACAGCCTCGGAAACCCTATGCAGGATCTCTTATGAGTCAGAACCGACCCCACAGCACACAGCCACTACCAAGCTGTCAAAATGAATTTGTTAAAGTCACCCACTTGTGTTAATGTTCTAGCAGCACTCAGTCAACTAGACACCTCCCCGGCTCTCATCCCTAGACTTGTAACCATCTCCTTCCCAGGCCCGTGTCTCCTGCATGTCTTCTGTGGATTACAGTGCCATTCACACTGAAGCAGTGCTCTCGTCCCCAGGTGTCAGCTGACTTCAGCAAGTTGAAGGTGTATCTCACTTCAGTTGGCCATTTGAAGACCCTCCTGCAAGTACCAGAAACCTATGTGTTGAAAGGGATAGAGAAGGCAGATGTATCCATGAAGGTTAGCGCGAAATGAGTGTGAGATGTTAACGTAAGAAAACGCAATGTGTCCTTTGTGAGGGCATGTTCAATATGAGTGTTGGGATTTCAGAAACTGGGAGGCGTGCTTGGAGATGAGGACAGTTAAGGAATCAGAGCAGAAATCTGCCTGTGTGTTCACAGATGCAAGCGAGACAAATGCTAACTATGCTGAGGCCAATTCCAGTAGCCTAGATGCTGTATACAAAGCCCTAGGGACAAAAGCTGACTTCAAAAAGTATACTAAAATAGACTTGGCCATCACTACTTGTGGGTGCTCAAGGGAAACACTTGTCAGGTGCTGTTGAGTCGGTACCGACTCACAGCGACCTGAAGTTCAACAGAAGGAAACACTACCTGATCCTGCACCAGCCTCACAATTGTTAACACTTGAGCCCATTGCTGCTGTCAGTATGCCCGTCCATCTTGTTTGGGTCTTACTCTTATTCGCTGACCCTCCACTTTACCAAGCATTAATGATGTTCTCCAGGGACTGATCCCTCTTGATGATACATCTTAAGTCTGAGAGACGAAGTCTGGCCATCCTGGCTTCTAAGGAGCATTCTGGCTGTACTTCTAACGCAGATTGGTTCGATTTTCTGGCAGTCCTTGGTACTTTCAATGTTCTTCTCTAACACTATAACTCAAATGCATCAATTCTGGCATGCCCAAGTCAGGTCACTGTAAAAGGGGGTTGCATTACAAACATGAGTTTTTAGCAGCAGTTTCTAATGTTAGCCTTTGCAAACTTATATACAAATGCTTGAGCACAAGAGAATATTAGTAGATCCATCCTGTAAGTATCCCTTGTTTTATAATGAGACACTGTCCTATAAAATTGATACATTGTTATTTTTCTATTCCTTTATTCACATCTCTGTGGGGTCCCTAGACTCCTTCAAATTTGATTCTCTCTCTACAAGGACTCTCAGAAGTCAAAGGCTGTTCTGTTCATATCAGAAAGATACAGCTTGAAACTGGCAAAGGGAAAAGGCCCATGGGTGAAGTCCAGGAGCTAGGAGTATAAGCTTCCAGATGTGCATGGGGTAACACAGGGCCGTGTTTGCTTCTCCCAACAGTGATTGTGAAGTGTTACCAACTAGATCAGCGGACAACCCTGGTATCCAGGGATTTTATTGGGGGTCAGTCATAGGTACACAGCTCCCATGTGACTGACCTCAGCTACTCAGCCTCCAGCCCCTCAAAGGTCAAGCAAATATCATAGGCTCAGGGTCTCTGTCACACTCTGACCAGATGGAATATTCCATGGGCACAGAGGCTGTCTCCCAGGTGGGGAGGAGGGTATAAAGAGCAAGCCCTAAAGACAGGTCTGTCTTCAGGATGTGTGTCCTCATTGTGTACTGCTGCCAATGCAAGTTGGTGCCCACAAAAGGCTCATCTAACTGGAATCTCTTTGTGACCCCAAGACCTTCCACCAGCTGATGGTGACAGTCTTGCCTGTATCTCCTAGGAGTTCATTCAATGTTTTCTAAAGCTCCCTCATATTTCTACTTTTGTAATTGTGATTAAGTGCCTTTGAGTCTGTTCTGACTCATAGCAACCCTGTATAGGGTTTCCAAGGAGCTACTGGTAAGTCTGAACTGCAAGCCTTGTGATTCAAAATGACCTTGCGGTCCTAACATTGCCACATTTTAGGTAAGAAAAATAGAGTGATCTTGGTCAATTTTTTTTTTTTATAAAACCACTGACTCCTTTTTAGCCTATGTACATTATTTTCTAAACAAGTACATACTTCTGACAGGCTTATTTTTTTTAAATCTTTATTGTGGTTTTTCTTACGATAAAATAATAGCATGTAAAAACCCAAGGATTATAAAACATAAAAAAGTAAACTTTAAGATGTTATGAAATAAAGTTCATTTTTAAAAAACTCAATTATAAACAAGAGGGAAGTTGGCAGAGGCAAAGGGAAGGTAGCGGGAGACCCAGGAAGGATTGCAAGAGTTAAAGTGAACAGAGGTAAAGACTAATGGCACACAGAGAGGACTGCCATCATTGCAAGGCACCCGTCCTGTACGGTATGCCGAATATAAAACTGATGATTTGCTCTGTAAACCTTCACTTGATTCTTAATAAAAAATGTTTTTTAAAAATTCAAATATATAAATAAACTAGATGACTTAAAATGTAATGCTTTGTAATCCAGCCTGCAGGATTATTGCTGTTCACAGTTTGGGATGTCTCCTTACAGACTGAGTGTTCATGCCCTAATATAATATAGACTGCATACAGACCAACTGCATCCAGACTGTAGGTACTAACAGACAGGCACGTCTGATACATACACAGCCTTTTAGAAAACAAACACCAACCGGTTCTATATACAGTTAGACAACATAGTTTTGCACTATGTAGCTCTCATCATTTCTTAATTACAAAAACAAACAGTAACAACAAATTCATATGGTTCAATCTAATACCAGACTCAGTCTGCCCACATGTGGACATATGGAAGGGTTCCCATTTTTTGCCATTATAAATAATTCAGCCTATTTGGGTATGGTCTTTCGGGGATACAAACATTTCATCCCGAAGGGGTGAAAAGGCTTTGTAGAGCATTTAAGAAGAGTCCAGAGGACAGAGCTTTCCATGTGTCTTGGGTTGAGATCCAGCAGGGTCAAGTGAATGAGTAAATTAAGAACTTAGCTCTCAAGCAAGAGGAGCTCCGTTCAAGCATTCCAGCTTTTCAAGATTGGGTTCATACTTCATTGGTATTCCTGCCACCAGATATCATTAGTAGGTACCTGCAGGTTACACTAAAACATGTTCTTTGGATGTTGGGCTGTAGAAGGCGTGGAAACTGATTCAGAAAGATACTGGCATCAGAAATGTGTCCAAAAAAGCCTGAGTGAGTTTTTTTCCAGTGAGTTTTTGAAGTGATCAAAAAACAAGAGCTAGCACCTGCCAGAAGGACGGCGCCCCCTCCTGGCCTTGGCGAGGTCCTGACATCACCTGCAGACAGAATGTCACAACACAGTCCTGCAAGGTCCGGACACCCGGCACACAGGTCACCGACGTTTCTGAACAGGCCGCTTCTTCTTCAACCTAGCCTTGGGTCTGTAGATCCTGTTGGGGTCACAGCTGAGATTGTGGATGGTTTTCTTATGACAGGCGATGTGTACCAATTTTAGATTCTCTGAGGTAAACAGCAGGTCGTAAAAGTACTCCCAGTCTACTTCTCTTCCGTTCTGTTCTTTAATTGCCTCAGCCAGTGCTGGAACAACAGTGCGTTTCTTTTCTATTCTGCAAAGTTAAGGACAGATGGTCATGTGATGTTGTCTCAAATCCCACAGGCGACAAGTCAAGTCTCCTGTGTCATTTCCCTATGAGGCCCGAGATCTTTTAAACACATTCATGTTTTCAGCAGAAACATAACACAATGTTCCATTGCTTATAGGGTAAGATGAGCATCAGGATCTCAAAGGGAATATGTGTCATTCCTATTTACCATGCCCATTGTGCAAACCAGTCCAGGGGCATGGAGATCCCTGTCCCTGACCCCACTCCACATGCCAGCTGTCTCTTGCTCAGTCCAGCCCCCAGCCGCCCATGCGGTCCTTCTCTCTCATCTCTTGTTACCCGGGACTGGGTCAGTGGGAACCTGTTACAAGCTCGGGGGGTCCACATGACTTCCCCTGACAGCAGACCAGCCAGTCACAAACTTGGGCTTCTCCTATAACCCCCCAGGGGTCTACATGACCTCTTCTAGTCAGGCCCACCAGCTCACCCTGTCCCCTGAGGTCTGTGAATTCCCTGGAACAATTCACAGTTCAAGGGGAGGACTCCATACCCAGAGTAGCAGCTCCAATATAATAAAACACAGTACAAAATGACACACACAATCACAAAAGGACAAATATTGTACGAGACTAATGTTGAGAAAAGTTTTGTGTTTTTTTTTAAAGTTCTCATGATAAACAATCTATGATGGTTACAGGAGAAAGAAAAATTACTCAAGGGCTGAGGGTAGACACATGTTAACATGGATGATGGCAGGCAATATGCAACAAGAGGGAGGTTGGCAGAGGAAAGAGGGAGGTAGCAGGAGACACAGGGAGGAATGGAATGGATACAGTGAACAGAGGTAAATGCTGTGAACTGTTGGTACATGGAGGGGATTAGAACCATGTCATGAAGCAAAGAATATGATCCACTGAATGTGAAACTTGATCTCAATTCACAATAAAAACCTGCTAAAAAAAATGAAGACACACATATAGTGAGGCCTGTGGGGGGAGGGGGGGACAGTGTAGCGCTTCCACATTCTAAAGGTGGATGCTTTACCTTCTCCTGTGCATGGCCACCAACCGGGAAGTTCCCTGAGCCTCTATCTGACCCCGTGCCCATAATAGACTAATTACATCAGGCCTCTTGAGACTTCCCACTGGGCTCCCAGGTGGTCCATCTAGGCTCGGTCCCCATTCGTTTGCCTCAGTTGTGGTCTGGTTCTCAGGAACCAAGACCAAAGGCCAAATGGCTTTCTGTGCGGCAAATCCACAGAAATAACACTTGGAAATATCCCTGAAGGACGAGGATGGCAATTAACTTTATCTTAGCATCTAGCTGCCACCAGTAAGTAGTACCACTGTGGGACATTGCTTCATAAACTCATTTTAACTGTCACAACTGAAATATGTTCATGTCTGCTCAAATAGATCTATGTCTCAGAGTCTGATAAAAGCAACTTGACATATTTGACACAATTTTAAATTGTGTTCATTGATATTAAAATACATATACTGAAAGGTACACAGGAAAAAAAGAGACAGTTACCCAGAGAAGCCAGAGATGGAGGCAGAGACGATGACGTGGAAATATGGAGTGACTGGGGACGTTAGACCCAGAGAGGGAGAGGGGCTGTGTGCTGACGACTGGGGAGCAGGCTTGCAGGGTATACCATTTGGTTGGTTGATGATGCATGGAGTGGACTGTAACCATGGCAATGAAACAATATACGATAGGATGAATGTGAAGCTAATTAATTTTCTCCCATGTAAACTAGCACATAATTCACAATAAAACATTTTTTAAAAAAAGAGAG